TCATACGAAATGTATTCCAAATAAAGCTGTACATCCAATCAAATTTATGTATTTACAATTCGATGAAAGACAAATAAAATGATAAGAGGTGACAAAGGCTAGTTAATAGTAAGATTATCAATTATTAATTATCAATTATTTAAGATGGGGACGCCACTATGTGCGTATTTTAACCCAAATATGAGTGAAGGATGAGTGTAGGATGAGTGGCGCGATCTTGTAGTCTTGTTAGTGACTAAGGCCGACATGTTCCTTAGACACAGCTGTTAATTAATAGCCCATACAGCTAATGGCAACTAAGGGACCTACGGTTTATAGTGGAATCCGAACCACATTTTTCCTTGTAATTTACGAATTGGTCTAATTATCAGGATAGTACTGCGGATAGTCGTAGTACTCACTAGTGCGGACGTTAATCCACACCAGTGAGCATCGCATCCACAGTGCATCCCTATAAATATCCACAATTCGTGACCTCCTAGTAGCTGGATTACAGGACGACGCCACCCGTCCCAGTCACTCAATCTCAGATGCGCTCTCTGTCAAGAATAATTAAGAATTTCTAGGAAATGGTACATTTAAATAACAACTCTCTGTTGTAGACGCAATTCAACTATATTCTTTTGTAAGTGAAGCTATCCACAATGTCATTATCAGAGTTAAATGTCCATTTCAAGTTGTGGTAATTGTCAAAAATTGAAGGACTGGGTTTTTTCTATCAGCGTTACGGACTTTAGTACTAGAGGGACGGGTACGATTCTTGACATAACCACGAAGATTCTACGGATTAGAAAATTTTTTAAGGAGTTTAAATCATTTGTACTATAATATTACTACCGTAGACCTATGTAATTAAAATAAAGGATTGAACCCAACGCACCAATTACATCTATTTTATCTAGACTACACTCCCTTCACCAAAATCCACCTCAAAACCAACTTAAAATACACCATATAAATTGAGTCATATTTTTGAAAACTACTTTAATCAACAGAAAAGTAAATAATCCCCATAAACCATCTCCGTTTCGCCTAACAAACCTAACGCCCAGTCACACGGGTTCGTTAGTATTTGGGAATACACGGGACCGTAAAATTAACAACTTAATAAACGTTCATAAAGTAAGTTCCGAAGCAACACGATTACAAAGTGTGCCAACCAGGTCGCGGGTTCAAAGGCGAATTTCCTTCCTTAATGGAACCGTATAAATAGTGCGCGTGCGAAAGTCCATTGAATGCGAGTCACCGTGTCCTATAACTTCAGGACGAAAAAGGAATGACCAATTTGCGTCGTGCGCATCTTCTGGGAGGCCGGTACTGGAATGTGCCTTACGGTATACTCGGTTAGTTTGCATAGAGTAGTGTAATGGGATTGAGTATAGTGTAGTAAAGTGTAATGAAAAATATAAGGGATGCGGTCTGGTTGGAACGTGGGACTTCTAGGAGTCGCAGGTTGAATTTTGGACACTTTTTAAAGGGTTTTCAGCTAAATGATAACGCCAATAGTCAGGAGTTTTGAGTCCACTACATGCTGTCAACTATCTAGAAAACGGGAGGATAAAAATATAATAGGTTCCTTAACCAAGGAAAACTATATATAGTTGTATTAAATTGTAAGTCGATCTTCAAACATGTTCCCTACTACTGTTTGGTATTTTTGTAAAACATTTTTTATGCACCGCAAAAACAGGTATTTAACATTTTACGATAGTATCATTACATTTTTATTACTCTCAGATTAACAAATAAAATTATAATATGCGTATTTATGATATACTTATTTCTTAGCTGATCATTGTTGTAACTTTGTGTACACGGAACAATAGAACGCTGCATTTCCCAGGTAAAAGCTCCAAATAAAAGAATAGAGCATTCTACTTAATTCCCAACAAAAACAAACTTTACATTTTTCCTCTAGAATAAAAGAAAAATGAATGGTTCAGGACACAATTTTGCATACATTTTAATAGAGATTTCAAACGTAACAAATATTCAAATTTTGGAACTAGTTTGAAAAAATATAAATATATTAAAAGGTTTTGATTGAAATATTTGGAAATAACATTCAGGGTTGACAAGTTTCAACAATGATAAATTCAAACATTGTTTGATAGAATATTTAGTATATAAGGAATCCTACACTGTTTCTTTATTTTAAATGTAATGTACCTTTTGAAGTCTGTGTCTTTATTTAACGAATTTTACTTATATTTTGTTTTATTGACTTTCTGTATTCATGCCAGTGAAAATTCCGATTCAAATTCATTCAGATTACTGCACCAAAGAGGTCAAGTGTCATATTTATCTCAAGTGTCATACCTATCTCATTGATAGTATTTTCAAAAACCTTTAACTGCAAACCACATCTAGCATTTCACTCATATTCGCAACACAACCTCGTATCCAGCCCCGCCCCGTCGAAGTTTCCCACAGTGACACACAACAAACCACCGAAACAGACAACAACGAATCCGAGTCGAAATCGAGCACAAAAGGTGGCAGCACTAAATCAAAAAGGTGCCGATAGAAAGGTAATGAAACGTGCGAAATTGAAGTGGAATCCGGTGAACCGAAGTCTCTAATTCAAAATATTGTGACTGGAGTAGCGATTTATGTTTGGGGCAGCTGCGACTACAAAAGCGTGGATACTGTGACTATTGTTATGGTGAGTGGATTTATATACTGGCTGATGTTCATTGGTGTAGGGATAATGGGTGATCAGACTAGTGAAATAGTGCTTCTCGTCTACCAACCGACGGTGTCAACTACTGTTGGGGACGTGTAATATGCTAGGGCTTCACACTAGGTTGAAGCGTGTTTAAAAAATACAAAGCCAACCTCTACAGAAGGCATATGCGTAGGTGTGGCAACGTCGCATCGCTGTCTCATTGCCTTGGTAATATCAAAAGTGTAAACATAAACATAGCGGAGTAGCTCCGCAACAGCTGTTTCGGTAGGCCGGGGCGGTGGCGTTGCCACTTCTCTCTCACCGCAGCTTTGTATTAGAGGTGACTATGCTAATTAATGTACCTTTCGTTTATGAGAAACAGAAGTTTTCGGATTATGAGTGTCATATACTTGAATCTGTATTGACAACATATGTCATTTCAAATAATGGTCAAATGTTTATTATTTATGTTTAAAATTTTACATTCTTATAGTTAGTTGTTCATTACAAATTATTATGGAAGGCAGTTAGTTAAATTTTAAATTCAATAAAAGTAGTTTTAAGTCTTATTCAGTGCGTGATTTTAACAGTACAAATAATACCAGGCTACCAGTTCGAGTCACAACAATCTGTAGATAACAGGCAAGAAGGAAACCCTAGCTAGACATATTACTGGTTTTGGGGATAACGTTATCTTATTTGTTAAAATACAGTATTACGTCAAACAAACTTATATCGAAGACTTTTAAAACTTTGTAAATTATATTTACGAATTCATTTCTAGATATAAAGAAATTAATAGAATAAAAATCGAAGCATTTACCTAACATAAATTAAATAAAGTAAAATGAGTATTGGTCAATTTAGTGTTTTAATCTGTAGGCTTTACTTTTTTATTCAAATATTATTTGTATAAAAAATAATTCCTGTAACTTCAATATTAGGACATCGGCATGTAAAGTACGTCAAAAGTATAATTGTTAGAAATAGCTAGGTGATTACCCACAGATTCCACTCTATCAAATCAATTTAATATAAACCCCCCTACAGAAATGACTCTGAAACGTGTCTTCCCACTAACTCTGTGAACTACCTGTTGAGGGCGGACACCGTTCTAATTTTGCCGCTCAATTACAACCCAATATTCCCGCCTTCATTAATCACCTGGCAGGCTGACAGACGGTACATCACCATAGAGTATAGAGAACGTCTGCTGATGAGACTAAGAGGTTCAACATGTAATTAACTTCACGTAGGTGCTTCAGAGGGGAAAGCTATAGTTAGTCCTCTGGTCATATAGGAAGCAAGACTGTAATACTTTCGCTACTTCGGTTTCATGGACTTTGCCTTTCGAATGGAAAACATTTTTAGATTCATATATGTATAATCTAGTGTGGATGCAAAATAGATGTTAAACTGATATGGGAAACATTTGAAGGCACAAAAACGAACATTAAGAACATTTGCAACAAGATTTCTTGAATACTATAATAATTTCTATTAGGAAACAGAAATTTGAATGTAAATGAGCTATTGGCTATTATAAAAATAAGTATAGCTGATTTTACCCTTTCTTTGACAATATTGGACAACGTTATTAAGATATTCATCGTACCAATATGATTTTCTTTGATATTTAGTACACAAGTTATATGTGAGCTTGTTAGAATTGAAAGAGAAACATAATATTTCTGTCTTTTCAAATAAATTCTGATTCTGTACAACAATACATCCTTATATGATATAAGGATGTATCATCTTGATTAGTTTTAACAAACAAATTGTTTCAAATTAGTTTAATTTAATTCCTTAAAATGCAGTTTAGTTTTCGTCCTAAACTCATAGTAGGATATAAAGTTAGATAAGACTTACTTATATTTTTTTTAGTAAGCTTTGAGTATAATGGGTAATTCTTATAAAAATTACCCACTGTTTGATTTGAAATAATTTTGGAAACATAGCTAGGTTCAATCGTTCAGTTTTTATTTAACGTTTATTTACGGTAGCAACAAACACAAGCCGTAAATAGTTACTGACGGGAATCAATAAAGCAGTGACCGGTCAGCGCATACAGCGCTGCACCGGAGACTCAAACGCTGGGCTGCACTGAAGGCGCAAGAACCTCTCTACTATCCGCTCCGCCGCGGAATGCTGTCTGCTCATCCTCAACAGGTGACTCTCAGGTGCGAGGGGCGTGGTCGGTGGTGGGGGGCCAGCCCGGCTCTCCGATTGGTCGGTTCTCACCTGACCTCAATATGTTCCCCCTCCACTCGACGGCCACACCCCCCGCTGTTTTACCTGCCGCGGTGATAGTCTTCCCTGGGACCTGATCAGAGACGCTTCGCGCCGCGCATCTTCACGAGACGATCTGCGAGAGGCGTGGCAGTGATAGTGAGGTGGATGTGCGATCTGGACCGGAAGTGATATAGATTGTGATCGGAAATGGATTGAAACATTGAACTGTATGGATTTTGAAAAGTGCTAGAACTAGAAGTGATACATATGACAATTAAAATAGTTTGATCAATATTGACATTTGATTATTTTTTATCTTCAACTAGGGTATTTGAACTTTCGAAATCTCCAACAATGCGACCAATTCACGACTGACGTCATCCAAGAGCGGCTTGTCGGCGCCACAATCATTGCGGAAACAGTGTCGCCGCAGAATAGCGAATGCAGATGAAACATTTGTTCGGTTACAGAAATGCGTATTGTTTCCCCGCTATTGTTAGTCAGTTAGAACAATTGTTCGGAAATCCGCTCTCAGCTGTGCTCAGACACCACAAGTCGCCATAGGATGTCTACAGGACCGGGGAATATCTGGTGATAGTGGTTCACTTCGCACAGGTAACTTTTGAATGTGTTTTGTTTATTTACAAGTCTAAGCATATCAGTAATTACTTATTAAATAAAATAGGATTTTGACACGCTTTACTTGACAAATTAAATGCATTTGACATACGCCTGTATAGCTCTAAATGTTTGTACTCGTAAAGTGCCATTTTAAGGTTCACCGCGTTTTTAAAATGTTTATCTAACACTAAGATTGTGTCGTATATGCTTGAATATTTCCAAATGTTAAATGTAATTTTCATCAATCAGTATAAATATACGTTTATACTGTATACACAGCTGATATGGTAAACCTTAAGCCGCGTAGTGATCGTGGTTCAGGTTCTTTCTTGTTCGTCACAAGTATAAGTCATAAGTAATAAGTCATAAGTTCTTTATTCCAAAATAACAAATAACACATTGTATTGGAAAAGTCATTAAAATATCAATTCCGGCCAAACATACCATAGCTGAAGATGAAAGCACACATAGTCAAAAGCGTGTTTCAGAACCTCACTTCTCCGTGATTTTAGGTAAAAATTATTTAAAAAATAGAACAGATAGTTTTATTTATATCGGTACTGATGGTGCTCATTAATTACAGGCACTGGAAGAATATTATAGTGAGAGTATTTAAATATGGTTACTTTTTCGTTGGGATACTCAGCACTGTCGGATATAAAAAATACTCAAAAACGTTATTTATATAATTATAATTATTCAAATTAATAGCTTTAAAAATATGAGTTAATGATAAGTTAAACACTTTATGATAAAACAATTACTGTTAGATGCAACGATTAAAACTGGCAGAGAACTGTAGAGAAAACTGAACAAATATCAGAGAATTACAATTAATGTGAAATGTTTATTTAATTTAAGATACTCTTTAAATTTGTTTATTGAAATAATTGCTGTCAGTATTAAGAATTGTAGTTACAAAAAATGCAGTTAGAAACAATTTTTTATAAAAATAAAAAATATATTGATTTAAAATTAACATTGAATAAGATTAGTCAGCGTGACCGAAAGTTTATGTATTGTGATATACATAAACATCCGTTATTATTTATTTGGTTGATTATTTAATCCAATTATAACATCTTATTGTATCTGAACTAATAATGAAAATTGCATATAAAGCTTTCCTCACAACTAACTCTTTTACGTTAATTTTTATTTTTAAAGTAAAATTTATCATATAAAATTTACTTATATATTATAGAATATATAAGTATAGAATATATATATATATATATTATAGAAAAATGTCAAATAGTTAAAATCTTGGCTTTATATTTAAAAGCAATACATGTATTTTACATTAATAAAGGAAGGCGTTAACTACGTATGTGTTGTGAGCTGATTTAGAACTCGGTACTTAACTATGTATTTTTTTATTCAATATGTATGAACTGCCATTCATCTCCAATATATATTCCACTCGTTTTTGTTATTGTGGGATACGAACAAATTGTATATTATAAAGAATTTTTTTTACAAAGTCTCGATAGTATTTACATTTCATATACATGCTGACTGAAATATAAGCTACAGTGATACTGATGCTTTATCAAAAAATCTTCCTTCAAAAGAAATTATATACCAATTTTATCATTATCGGTGGGATATTATTTATTAAGAGTGTTAATATTTACAGTAGTATATGATTATGAATGCCAAATAGCAGTGATGCATTATTTAAACACAAGTGTGTTTTACGTGCGTTAAACAAACTAAACCTTATTAAAGTTTAAGCTTCCTTTTGTAACAATGTGTTTTTTTTTACAGAGAGTACCTTTACTTCAGCACTCACTTCCGTAGTCAAGTAGTATCCAACACAGCAGTAGCGATCATAGCATAGTCTAGAATGGTGAGTAATTTACATATACAACTAACTAAAACAAGTAGACTTCTTATCAAATTGTAAAATATGAAGCTTGCTTTTCATGTCTGGTTCATGTTAGTGACACTGAGCGCTAGTGTCGACATTTTGTTTATCTTATTTCGGGGTTAGTTTTATGATTTGTGCTTTAATTTCTTCACTATAAAACCATAGGATGAGCTGTTGGTTATTTGTATAATTTTATTTGGTGAAACTAGTACTTAAATGAGTATAAAACATATGTTCGTGTAAAAACACGCCTTTAGAGGCACTAGACGGAACTAAAATTAAAATATTCTTCAGCTGATTCATAAGTAAAAATCTACTGAAGAAGTATGTCTATGGTAAAAAGTTGTATATTACTTTAATAAATAATAACTTAAAAATGTTGAAAAATGTTATTTTTTAGTTTTATCCTACATTAGAACTACTCAGAGTCAATAGTGTTATACAATGCAACAGTACTGTACAACCTTGTACTATACAATTATTTGTACATTATAATACTCATAACTTGAGGACGATATGGCGAGACTTAAGTTTTTATATCAGTTAAGCTTAAGACGCTCGAATGAAAGAAAGCTCATTTACCGATGATAAATGTGTCGTATACATTCTGTTAATAAAAATCTTTAACATGTCTCAGGTCGTAGTATGAAGTAATCACCTGCATTTTAGTTTTAATGACATTTTCAGGTATTTAATAAGGCCCCAAAATGTTTCGTTTTATGATTTTTTAAAGGAATATTGTTTTTTTTTTCACGGCAAATTATTTAAAAGGAAGTTTAATTACTCACTTCCCAGCCAGTTTCTCTTTTTGTCTAAAATTATGTTTAAAACATGATATCAATAGCATACCTGCATTATTTTAGGAAGAGGATTCTGTAAAACATTTGCATTCTCACTTATTTGCATTCTGAATAAAAATAGGAATATTAATTTCCTTTATGCATCAAAATGCAATAGGAATTGTCAATTATTCCATTGACTATATACCTGTACCTATAATACCTATACCTCTGTAGAGCCAATGATTATTCATATCATAACAGACCAGGTTCTTACAAACAACACTCAAAAGCTTGTGTAAACAAATATACTGTACTAATTGGGTATATCACCGCTATATCGTAAGCTACACCTAAAATACTGTTCTACACCGGACGTAAATATACAGAAATCCTTTATTCGTATACTAAACTAACCATCCTAAAACCGAACGCATTGCTAAATGCAAAACTAATGGAATAGAAACCTCTGAGTGGATATCTACTCAATTAGTGACATCGTAAAACCAACGATTAAAAACCCTCTGACGAGATATTTCACCCGGAATATTCCCTAAAAGCGGCCGACACAGTGCGAAGCGGGGATTAGGTATCGAATTAAAACTGCCGACTCCTTAATGGGCAACGTAAAGATGGGAAATTTGTCGAGGTATTTCAAGAAACATAATACAACCCATTAACAACCCGGACGATGTTTATGGTAGGCTTTATGAAACCTTAAAATGAAATAGATGTAGTAGAAAGCCCAAATGAAGCGACATAAAGTTGTGGGTTTTCGGCTGTAACTCGTGTGGTATAGTGGCGTAGTGGTGGAGTTTGGCGTACACTGGGGCGACCGGTCGTGACATCTTCATAATTCGGACCTGATTGACGCTCTTGGGTCTAGAAAGTTTTGGCGCGAAAAAGATCAGTTGACACCTAGAAAAGTCCAAACTGAGTAACTTTTGTGCGTTTGGTTTGGAAAATATGTATTTTTCGTCGTTTTGATGTTATGGGAAATTTGTGTTCAATGCAATAACTATTGAAAAATATATTCAAATGTTAAGGTTCAGAATTCGTATGTGGGATCTACCAAAAGGATATTATTTTGTTCCCCATTTATTTTTCGATTTTTCCGGTTCTTTCGTAGTTTACAAGTTTTAAAAATTCTGAATTTAATTAATTCATTTCTACCTAAGTAAAATCACTGACGTTCTATAAATTAATATACTGAAGTTGTTTGGCGACAAAATTATAAACTATTCAACCATAACAGTGACATTTTAATTTAAAATTGTCATCGTTTTAATTGACATAACTTTTGCCAATTTAGACAACATTAGACGTGGATTTTGCATCTGACATATATAGTAAAATGGTTAGTTACAAAAATGGATATTTTTATTATATCACAGTATTTCTTTCCATGAAACCTCAATTGTTGTGAAACTAATTATTTTCGCAAAATACTATAAAAATTGTGGTAGGTATACCTATGCCAAAAAACATAATTAGTTTTGTATGGTCATTAATGTCTTTTAAAACAGATTTTTTGGCTACACTGAAAAAACTAAACGTAAAGTTAATTATCTGGCATTTTATTTAATTTAGTAAAAACATTGTCCTTATAAATAAACACTCATTATTATAAATTAAAATAACTAAACGCTTTAAGTTGAGACGTGTTATCCTACAGTTAGAAAAAGAAAAACCCCATTGACTCTTTCCTTGTCAAAGTTAGGTTATAATTCTCTAGCTTCCTTTTGATAGAATGGTTTCCCTGATTGACTGTGTAAATAAATCCATTTGCTAGTTGGCAAGATGATTCTTGGGGAAATACAGTCGGAGTCCCTGAAAATAATCACAATTAAGTGTAATTTTTGATTCTCAAATCACCAATATTGAATATCCAAGGATAAATGTAACACAATAATCTTATTGTAGTCTATTTCCTCGTAACAACGAGTCCAATACACTCAACAATAGACCTCACATACCAGTAAAGTTTCATGCTGGAGAGCGGGTCATAAAACTGCAGCTATCTCGGAAGAGAGAAAGAAGCCGCTGTTCTTTTTGCGTGGAAATAATTTCGAACAGCAATTAAGATAGGGAAGGTATGTGTGGCTGTGTGGCGAGCACGAGAATCGATACGAAACATGCAACCTTGCAACCGTGCCAAAACTGCAACCTGCAACCGGATACGGATGTGGTTTTGCCATTCAAAATCTGCAACCAGATTCGAATTTTATACTGGAAAAAGTAAACAAACTTTTTATGGGTCGAAACTGGGTCCACTGTCCTTGATCACAGGGCTGTCAATATTTGGTCGTGCATTTGCGCCAAAGAGTTCCTTAACAGCACCAAGGCCTTAAGGGGTCCGAAAAATATTCCTTAGTTGAGCCAAGAATATGGCAAGTAGGGGTGAGTTGCCGGCAGAAGGAATATTCTTGCTTACGTGTCATCCTAACCTAACCTAACCTAACCTAACCTATTTAGTTATACAGTCAAGAGGGCCACCACTTGGCGCACTTAGGGAACGTATCGGGTGGCTCCCTGGAGTTCTGAAGTATTTGGCGCAATTCAGGAATACCCGACTACCTGACTCAAGTCTGTTGGTGCAATTAATGCCCACCCCAATTTTCATTCCCTGTATAAATATCCAACACCCATATGAACAACAAAATTTACATCCACTGATCAACATTACCAGATATTCTTCCTTTCTCTTTTTTCGCAACCAGGAAATCACATCGCACATCACAGCTGATACAATAAACTGCGGGGCGCATGACTTACGGCTATCTCCGCCTCTACGCATGCGCAATGGGCTCGTAGTTAACGAATTAAACAGCACATGCGCAACGCGTCTTAGCCTACAGTGCGCAGCGAAAAATTGATTACCTGGCTATAAAGCAAGCTTGGACATTTGCGTTGCCGGTTAGTTATGTCCTTCTGGGTGGTCTAGCCTAGCGCAGGTACTTGGTAAGATATGGCTTCGTGAAAGTATTGTTGAGTCGTATTGAGTTGAGGTTTTAAGTGCGATGTTTGAAGTCAATCAGAGGATTGTAGGTAAGCGGGTGTGTTTTTATTTTTTATTGTTTAGTTGTTTTTTGTTTGAGTTTAACGTCATCAATTGGTATTGAAATAATATGCAAGGAGCAAGGTTTATTAACTCTAAGTTTTGTTTGAGATTTAAATTGTTAGTCAAATTTAAAGGGTATAAATTATTACTGAGCCCAATTGAGAATATATAAAACATTTAATAAAGATTCAGTGTTTTTGTTAAATAAAGAAATCTTTATTGATATGGCAACCAAAACCTTTTACACAAATTAACAAAAGCAATGTCCTGACAACCTTTTATAGTTACAATACATTTTAATAATCTAAAAAGTGGATTGTGCAGACTTTGTACATTAGGGAAGTTTTGTAAGAGTAATACGTCAATAGTAAAATAATTTTCACTTGTTTCTTCCGTGATGAACTTTTGACAGAATTGTACTTGAATGGTTCCAAACAGCAGAAATATATTATGTTAATATGTTTAACTCATTGTACAAGTAGGTTAGTCAAACGGATATGGTGTTTGCCAAAATGCATAACAAAAGACTTCGTCACTGGAAACTCCAATATGAGTTAATCAATTCTGTCTTGGGATGACATGTGTCAAGGCTACAAGTTTCTGAATAACAAAAGATGCTTTAATACTACTATTGAGTAAAATTAACAAATACAGGTTTTTATAATAACTATTCAAATTTGTTGTGTAGCTTTCTTGCTTAAACAAACCAATATCGCTATATCCTGAAATCAAATCATTTGGAGACTCTGCATTTAAATCTATATAGTTTTTGGAGAGAACTTGATACAGTTATTGTTACATTTTTCTGGTAAAAATATAACACCCTTTATACATAAAAACCCATACAATACCAAAAATGTAGTACATCTTCAACTATTTAATATGGACTGTATATTAATCCGTACCTATAGGATAGATATCAACAAATGCAACAAATAATCATTCTTGAAGCAACAGAAGATCGTAAAAATTTCAAAGCTTGAAAATACATGTTTTATCGTTAATAACTACATTCTTGCAACTCTTAGGTTCACTCTTATGTGTATTATACTTGATTTGTGTTCGGTTCGTCCATCTTTAGCGGGGTACACAAAATTCCTTCTGCACAGTAGAGATTGTGAGTTGCTACTTAGCATCTC